AATTAATTTAAATTTTTGATCACGCGGGATCAGAAAACCCACCTTCCCAATCACGTGTTTAAACAAGAGGATTTTTTGCAAAACGGCATACACCGTTAAATTCGTCGTTGAAAAAGACTAATTTCTTCAATAATTTCCTGAGATATTTAACAAAATACGTTTCTCACCGCCAACTTTGAGAGAAGTTTTCACCCCTTCAACATCGACCATTGCCAAAAAAAAAAAATTGATAAAAAAAAGAATACGGGTTAAATATTTCATTGAGAATTATATTCGTGCCAAATTTCATCAAAATCCGACTTCGGTATGTTGGAAGGGTACGGAGAGACAGTTGGCCGACTTCGACGCGCTCGACACAGTAGTCAAAACATCTTATTATTCGGGCAAGTCGCGAATCAACTTCCGCCCGTAGACGTTTCCTGCATCAGTTTCCGCTACCGCTCGCAAGCAATAAAGTGTTTCCTTACCAACCTAATGCTCCTAAACGTGGAAACAAGCGACTCGATCAGACTCTCTCTCTCTCTCTCTCTCTCTCTCTCTGGTTGAGCGACAGAAGAATTAATTTAAATTTAAATTTAAGCGTGTTTTACAGTGATCCGCGTCAACTTGCTGCACATGCGTACGCTAATTAAGGCCAACGCGCTAGATTCTTCTGCCCTGCACGTCAAATACGAAATACGAGTTGTTCGTTCTTCGAGCGTGCTCCGAAAATTGCGGCGAAAACTCGAGCAGGCTCGGGCGCGGAAGCCGTCCAAATGATGAAACTTTTAATCTGCTCTGGTCGCTGGTGCTCTCGTCGTCGGCGCCGCGAGAGACATCCCGACGAGAAAAAAAATTCGCCAAGCGCGAATTTATGCGACCGGCCCTCACGACGCGGGAAGGTTGTTCCAATTCCACACTGCAGAATATTAGATTGCATCGCACTCGTATGAAATGGCAGCAAAAGTGTTTCATAAAATTTCCCGCTGCCGAGACCGCGTCCCGTGAGATAATATTTATTCGACGTCGATTCGAAGGTCGAAGCCTCAGTCAGTTGCTTTCGCTCGTCGGTCACGACGAATTGGCTAAAAAAGGGAAGGAGAAATACGGATTTCGACTCGTGGGAACATTCGTGAATTTGAGTAAATGTGAGGATCATACAGATGTATCTCGACGATACAGATGGAAATTCAAACGTACAAAAGTTTTCCACCGCCGTGGATATCGAGTGGTCAATTTCGTTCCCCGGGAAGACGTCCCATAAAAGTCGGCTGGAAAGCGGCGTAACAACAGGAACAACGTGTTCTCGCTCGACAGATTCCGCCACTCGGTGTGCACGAGAATCTGTTTCGTCTCTTTTCTCTCTCTTTCTGTCGTTTCTTCTTCACTTCGGCGCGCGACTCTTCCTTTTGCACGGTTTGCTAGATCTATTCAATTTACTTTTTCTAACGGCAGGAAGGAATCTACTGTCGACAAAGGAAAAGAACGTCACGAGCGCTAGAACCTCGGAGAAAGAGAGAGAGAGAGAGAGAGAGAGAGAGCGGTGGCGTAGTTGGGGCTACGAGACGGCCTAGCAAAGAGGGTGGAGGATCGCTGGCGAAACGGGGGAGGGAATTTCGCCTGGGTAGAGCACACATGGAGAAGCCGTCGACGGTGCTTAAAGCTCAGAGGGTCCTTTGAAACTTTACAATTTCATTCTTCCAGACGTGGGCGAGCGCGAAGATTCCGCACCGGCTCTCGTCTGGATTTTTCTCTCGCTTCTTTGGAAGTCGCCGGTGCTCTTCTCTCCTCTCTCTCTCTCTCTCT